AAGACAAACACAAGTTACAACAAGAAAGGCAGTCTTCACGTCCTAACTTAGACGATCACAAAGCCCCCTTAATTGTAACTAACAGTTTCCAGCACTACAAGTATAAGGCAATATCCACTATATTTTGTAAAACTTGTAACACAACTACTGCAATGCTCGTGTAAACATCTCAGATACCAACTTATATCATCAATGTGACATTCAATAAAATACATCAATCTCTAAGAGAATTAATGCATCAATTGAAGGAAAGTTTAGCTGAGGAGAAAATCATTAGTCTTATTCTCGCTCTCTCGCATTCCAATATAAAAACTGTATTTAATTAATATAATACAAAACAAAGAAAAGAAAGAAGAGAAAAAAAATAAATACCTCGCTCAGCATCGTCATTACTCATAAAAAGTTCATAGAAATCTTCTGGACACCACTCTTTGGGCCAAAGTTTTAATTGAGTGGCTATTGCTGAAGTCTTTCTCCTGCGAGGCATATGCTCACCAACTTGGATTAGCTCATATCTGTCGTGTCCCAATATTTTAAAGATTTTGTATTGACTTTTCAATCCATTAGACATTTGGGGTACTGTTGTTGGTCTGAGAATTAAAACATAATCTCTAACTTTAAAAATTTTCGCAGTCTTAGCTTCTTGCGATATGCTTCTTGCATATCTGCGTTCTTCTGTAGTCTTTCTGCAACTAGACTACGCCATAAGTCCCGAGGATATCGGCTTGGATGACACCCTCTTGAGTCGCTGTATCCAAAATTTTCCGGAATACGTCCATCACATCCAAACAGTAATTGTAGTGGAGATTTTCCTGTTGTTTTTTGTACTGTAGAATTTAAAACTAACTGAATCTTCCAAATATGGCTAGACCAATCGGTGGTGACCTCTGCTTGGATCCGAAGCATGTTGGCAATGGTTTGCATATAACGCTCGACTTGGCCATTGGCTTGGTGTGCGTGTGGTGTAATGAAATGTCACTCGAATTGCCAATCCCTGTCCAGGCAAGCTTGGTGGAGACATCTAAAAGCTGCGTTATCTGCAATTATACGTGTAGGTGCTCCCACCAAAGAAATTATTTCTTGCAAGCGTTTTTTTTTTTATATCGAAGGCAGCATTAGATTTTTCAATAAACAGAAGGAAACAGAACTTCGAATATGCATCCACAGCTACTAGTATATGTGAATATCCATCTTCAGTTCTTTTTAAAGGTCCAAAATGGTCTAAGTTGAGAGTATGAAAGGAAGACGGAGCCTTAGAGAGAGAATATATTCCCGTCCGAGAAGGTTCATACGTGCGTTTATGGGACAAACAAGTTAAACATGCATTAACGTATTTCCGAATGAAATTTCTTAATCCAGGAAACCAAAAATTTTCAACAATGCTCTAATCTATGCGCTCTAATCCATTACTAATTTCCTTGTGACACAATACACCATTTTTAATGGTTGTTGGACCGTATTCCACCCGTCAGGCAATCTAGTTTGAGTGCTAACAATATTTACAGTAGCCTTAGCGAGTGGTGGATTACGACTCAATAATCTATATAAGCCATTTTAACACCGGAACGGTGGATAATTTCAAAGTTAAAATCTTGAAAATACATCCACCAGCGGCTAACTCTAGGCACTAGGCCTTTTTTATATTCTGAACTTTTCATCG